GGGGTCGTAATAGTTTACTACTGGATAGAGAAGAAATTGTGCTATGGAGGAGGGATTATTTAACAAAAATTGGGAAATATAGAAATCAAAACAGGAAGATTTATTACCTTGATGAAACATGGGTAAACGCAGGACACACTACAAGTAAAGTATGGGTTGATGATTCTGTAACTTCATCCAGGAGGGCCTTTCTAGATGGACTGTCCACCGGATTAAAAAATCCAGCAGGTAAATACGAGTAATAGACAACAATCGGATGTTTTTCAAACCTTGGGAACAAGGTTCTAAACATTAATTCCAGTGGGCAGATAAAACATATTACAAGTAACAAAACTTTTATAACTTTAGATAAAATGCGTGGATGTTTTATTGTCATTTTCATTTGTTAGAACTTTTTTAAGCCATGTTTTTATGTGTTTTCGATATTTCAATAATTTTTTAATATAATCTTAAAATATGTCGAATATTATAAACTTAAAAAAAGTTACTAAGTTTTATATTGTGTACCGTTCCTAATATTTCTAATCATTTTAATTCATACTTTAAGCTTTATAAAGTTATAATTTGTTAATATTAATATTTGCGCGTATTTCAGGTTCCTGATCATTCATTTTTTATAGGTTTATAACTTTAAATTAAATTGTGAAGCGCTGAGTAATCATACGACGTTCAATATTCTTTCTTTCAATATGACTAAATAATCCCAATTATAGCAATCTGATACTCATGTCTCAATGTTTTTTCGCTGAATGTGATGAAAACATTTGAAAAAGGTTCGCTTATTGAAATAAATCTACACCAGTTAGTACTTCGATTTCCAGGTAAAGGGAAAAGGCTCATTATCTGCCATATTGGCAGTGAGGATGGATTTGTTGTTGACGGTCTGTGGTGCTTTGAGTCTAAGAAAACTGGAGATTACCACGAGGAAATGAAAGGTTTGAACAGTGGTTTTCAAAAATTTTACCGAACGCGAAAACGCAGTAATTGTGTTGGATAATGCGCCTTATCATTCTCGAAGAATGGAGAAGGTCCCAACAACGGCTTCAAGGAAAGTTGATGTTCAAAATTGGCTCCGCTCGAAAAATATCAACTTTGAAGAAGCAATGCTGAAAGTACAATTATTAAGAATTGTCAAGGATCACAAGGCGGAATATCAAAAATACGCCATTGACGAAATGGCAGCAAGTCAAAATAAAACTGTGCTCCGTTTACCTTCATACCATTGCGAGCTCAATCCCATTGAGCTCATATGGGCAGAGGTTAAAAATTATATAGCTAAGCACAATACAACTTTTAAATTTTGTGACCTCAAAGGACTTTTCAAAGAAGCACTAGAATTAATAACAGCGCAAAAATGGGAAACTGTATTAAGCACGTGAAAGACAAAGTTGAAAAGAGAATGTGGGAACTGGACAATATTTTAGAGGAACAAGTCGAGCCGTTCATCAAATTCGGTAAGTTATAAGTAGTTATAAAGCTACTGTATTTTTTAATTAATTATTGACATTTTTGAACCCATTTTGGCAAAACCTATTCAAGAATCTACTTTCTGACAATGTTCAACCATGCACATTTTTTTACGTTTTGAACGTTTTAATTTGGTTTCATATTTACCTAGAAATCAAAAAATATACTAATCAATATTCTAAAAGCAATTTTAAGAGATATACGATTATTTTTAAGTTAGGCTAATTTAAACGCCATTTTGAGATTATATTCGACTGTATTTCACCAAACATCAGACGGCATCCGAAGCTGGAAATCGAAGCGAAAATTTTGAAACCCTTATGTATATTTACATCATTATATATTTCTTACCCCACCCCCACATGATCCTATATCCATCACCAATCGTATACCCATCGAATTGTGCTAATTTACTACAAAGTTACGCAAAGCAGCATCTACTATCTAAAATATGTACTGCGTGACTCTTAATACGTCCCTGCCGAATGTTACAGCGTTCGATGATCACGTGGTCTTGTTTATGTCCGGTCTATCTCTTATCTGAATATACTGTAGTTAGGTTGATACTACTGAGCCTATTGTTACAGTTTCTTATTATGGTCGGCTAAAAATTAACGACATCTTGATAAAGTAAATTATTACAACGTTTTTCTTATTTAGAAGATTAATTTTATAGCAGTTCTTAGAAACATCGAATTTCATTTTTATAACAAAACACTTCTCTCAGTCTGGTAATTTTGTGGTTGAAAATCGTACTCTACTCTCCATCTCGCTGGAGGTCATTTTTCATAATTTTTGTCGACAGTAAATACGAGAGCTGAAGGTGACTTGGTGATATTTTCGGTGCTCTGGTGTAGAAATTTGTCTGCGGCCCACTGCCCGATCCTGTTAATAGTTCGCACGCTGAGTTGCGGTTTCACAGGGTGGTGGTGTAGTTTTTTGTTAGAAATCGGCCCCCTTGGTGATTGTTAGTGTCGGAGCCTTTTTCTTACCCTTTTAGGGATTTAACCGTGCAGGTAATTACACTCAACCATCGGGCGAAGGGGAACCGCCTACAGAGTTAGTCCAAGGCGAGTTTGAGTAGGCTTCACGTCTGGGAGAAACAGTTATCCCATTTATGGAGAACCCTCAATGTTAGACGGTTCTACCCTCCATTTATACCCTCCAGCTTCACCCTCCGGTTTTAGGGTGATACCTGATGCTCCCTACCGACAGTTGCCGGTCGGAGATAGACAAGTTATATTTAATTTTAGTTTTCTTTTTGAGTAACCATTTAGCTAGAGGGCGTAATACATAAATTTATTCTCGTTAGCCTGTCACCCAGGACATAATTTTTTTATTTTGATTTTTGTTTAGTTCGATAAATGTCTGTGTACCTTCAGTGAGTTGGTATTTTTTAACGCCAGAATCCCAACAGTGATACCTGCCTTCAATTCCATTTCCTAGTTTTTGGAAATTAGGTGGCGCCCAAATAACCACTGCATACGAAACCACAATACAAAGAACTACCAACTCATAGCTACTAACTGAGCACGCAGTTCGTTCGGGATAACACTCTTCAATAGAATTTCGTGGCACTAAAATGAGAATATAAAATTACTGTTCATAACGCGAAAGGAAAGGATCTTTCCTAAGAAGTTTTAGATTCAAAAGTAGATAAGACTGAAAGTTAAAGTTTCGGTTGGCCTTTTTAGAATCCATCAAAAAAGTTTGGTCTCCCAACCTTTTGCATTTTTCAATGTTGTTGTAAAATATACAATTCTATTGATAAACCTTAGATTGGTACTGAGCAATCAAGGAAACAAGGAGTTGAATGAAAATACGAGTACATCAAAATTAGCTCACAATTGTCCAGGTAAAACTCCAACGTTGAAGTACATGCTATTTTGCAACGCCTATCACTATAATAAATATTAACACTTATCGATGAAAATATATTCTCTTACTTAGCCAACAAATTTTGACTAGATGGAAGGAGCCAGTAAAGGATTTGTGTGTCTCCTAATTCTCATAGTCTGTGATGATCAAAGTGACTACAAGAGCACTTGACATTAGTCAATATTTTGATAGTTCTGCCATTACATTCGTATTTTTAGTGTTATTTTTTTAAAGTGCGAATGTTCGCAGATATTTGTAATGTTTTCTAGGCGTGGTTATTCTTACATAACTTGCAAAGAGTGACACAAGTTCAATGAAGGTAGATGTTTCCATTGGGAAGTAGAATTATTATGTTGATACAACCGTGTCACTTTGGTAGGCAATGGTAGTCAAATGACACACAATGCAATGTATACATATAGGCTTGACTACGAATCTATTCGAATTTGTTAGTTTAAATTACTTTTTGCATTCCACAGACACCATGACTATTTTCGCCAATTATCTGGGACACTAGGATTATATGGAACCCGTGCACTTTTAAGTGTTTTCGCAGAAACATGCGTATTGAATGAGGAATGTCAACCATTGTCAAAGTGACGGCATAAACCTTATCGCGCACTTTTTCTTAAAATAATTTCATTTTATCTGATATTCGAAGTTCGACACGTAGCCCTTTGATTGTGTCTGATCTTCGAACAAACACAGAGCAGGAGGAAATAATTGCTTTCCCAAAAAATACGCACTATCATTATCATTATTCCTCGCTTCCCTTTTCGCAATGAAAATCAATGGAAGCAAAACATACTATTCTGCCATAATTTCATAATGTGAAACCATCTTTATTTCTAAGGTAAGTCTGCCTCTGCGAGTGAGAGTACTATTTATTCCACATTAGGATCGGTAGGTAGACTAAACTTGCCTTGAGTCAGCTATACACGCTAGAGTACTTACAAGAAGCAAAGTGCACGGTGGGGGAACCAAATCTATTGCAATGCATGTGATAGACAAAACGCGAAACATCTCGGCACAATATAGACTAGGCATGGTTTCTACAGTGAAATATGGGTCATGTGGGATCAACTGAGGCCTGACAATGGTGAAAATAATCCGCTGTCATTATTTGTCAGATCAAAAGAGAATTTTCAATTTGTTCCTAATCTTAAATCAACTAAATGTCTGTCATTCTAACTGATATTCGTTTATTTCTATATTGCGCGTGTCAAGAAAAAATAATTATGTCCGACATCCGCTTGATTGCATCGTCATCCCGGATCCAGCAAATACCTGACAGCTTTTTATCCACTGGCCTCTGGGAAATCAAGCACAATTTCCAAAGATCTCAATGGAAAAACAGTAGTACATCTCGGGGAGCAGACAGCACCTTCCCCTGCTCTTCAATTTTAATCTAGGATTAATGTTCAAGAAGATTTCTCTCTCTGGGATGGGAGAGGGGGGGTGCTTGAAATACTCGCAAGCCCCCGGTGTCGCAAAAGATTGTGACATTGGCCTAGTCTGTGTGATTAGCTAATATAGGATTATCTCTTAGTAAAAGCCACTGAAAATAATGTTAAAAAAGATAAAAGAAGCACTAAATGTACTCGACGTATAAAACCACATAAATGTTTGTTTCAGATACAGTATACTATAAGTGTGGAGACGATGGTACCTGGTATTTTCATGAACCATACAATAAGACGTGGGTCAACTACACTACATGTGTCAACACGGAGGACTTGTCGGTAAGTCTCCTAAGGATTATATCTACGTCAATGGTCTAGTTCGTCCCAACGTAGCTCTACTGTATCGATACTTCGTTCCGGGCTTGCTAAAAGTGAGCATGAAGTGAACGACAGCTGGTTCCAAGTTGACGTCATGTAGGAAAACCTACATAATGTCAAAAAACACCGACATAATGTCACTTTTCAAGTTGGGTACACTAAGGCAGAGTTATTACGCAAAAAACCTATACAACCTCAAAAAAAAAAAGGACAAAATGTCAACTGTAGCCTCTTCTCACCTGTTAGTTGTAATATATATATATATATACTCCACCAGCCAGGGATTTTCTTATTTTATCTTTCGCATTTTTGAAACTCAGCAAGTTTGCATATGTAATTTCCAGGATGAATAAGAAAGAGTGGATGCGCAACTAATTTCTAGCTTTGAGTACCTACATCAGGCTAGTGTATATGAGTCAAGAAACCAAGGAAATTATCATCAACACAGATTAAGAGCACACAAATCCTCACTAAACACCTATGCACTGTCATCTCCTTTTAGCTACAGTATACAACTCACAGCTTCGATCTACAATTATGCCATCTCTGAAGCAGATGTTACATCAGATCAGAGCCAAACCATGATAGCTCAAGCGTCATGACGTTTAGGCAACACGTACAGCTACACAACTAGTGCACATCAAGTAAGCAATAGCTGGTTCCAAGTTGGCTTCTTATAGGAAAACACACGCAGAAAAGCCAATATAATGTCAAAAAAAACTTATGTAATGTCAAAAAATCGATATGATTATTACTATTCGTCATTTGTTTGCCTGGGCGGTCCGTAGGACCTTTGCCCACTAGTCACTGTCTTATGTACGTTAGTCAAATCTCATTGATATGATGTCACTTTTCAAGACGTACATAATATCCCTGCCCCTGTGGAGCAAGTGACACATCAAATACGGTTTTATATTGTTCAATGTTTTGTATTTGCTTTGTCCGTTTTGAAAACAGCGTCGTTGCCTTTTTAAAATAAAGCTGGTCTTTAGAAAATTATGATAGATGAACAAACATGGGATACTGGAAGGAAAGAACGAAACTATAAAAGCCTAAAAGTAATAACAACCTCTATTCAATCACTGAATTACCAAAGGTTCATGTCATGCTACAAAATGCTAAAATTCAGTTTAAGTTTCAACCCATAACATCTTTTATCGTTTTTAATTTTGGATACGAAAGCTAGCATCTGAAAGCATTCATCATTTTTAATTTTAGATACGAAAGCTGGCATCTGAAAAACTCAGTGGCATTTATCAAAGACCATTCATCGGTTAGATCGCTTCTGAAAAGTGCGCAAAGTACTGTAGTGTTACGTTGTGATGAACGGGTTCATTGGTTTAGTATGAAATAACCATTAGTATTGCTACCAAACTTCATTACATTTTTGTACTGTGTAATGTTCATAATTCCATATCATAACTGATTGATACGTCCTTTTTTCTGAAAAAAGCAGAGAACTAGCCTTGTGAATTAGTATGAGGAGTAGTGGACGTTTTGCTAATGATTTGAACGAAGGACGTATGACACGAGATTGAATTTGTAAGCGAGAGGATGGTAAATTAATATCATCTATACTACGACTACCCAGGATATCGACTCTTGCGAGATGTAAACATTTGTAGTTTATCACCGTCAACGCTTAATCGTGTATAAGTATAACATCAAATTCAGTAACAAATTTCATATTGTGTCATGCAGCCATAAAACTCATCATTACCAACATATACAATATTTAGTTCTTTTTGAAATATTCCATGACTATAATATCAATATTTTTGGAATCACTGAAAATCGAATTAAACATTTTGTCAATCCAAGCAAAATTTCAGTATGACGCCTAGAAGGAAAACTAAAGCTTACGAAAGGGGACGAAGGATAAAATGTTGGGTAATAGTATCACCAATATATCACCTTGTAAGGATAAAATAACACTACCTAGTCACAGATTTTAGTTTTGAAATACTTTTAAAAATGAGTTCAATCGAAATAAAACTAATGAGACATTTCACTTTTTCTATCTTCAAATTAAACATTTTCTCTTTACCTGGATGTACCGTTTCGACTATTATTAGAGTTTCAAAGAACTCTTAAGTGAAAGTCACATTTGGAGCACACGATGTGTGTAGTTCATGAAATGATTTGAAAAACTTTGTCTAAACTTTCTCTAACTCCTTTATGGAAGTTTCGGCACTTCATCATTTAAACTTCGCATTCCAACTTGCTTATATGGCTACAAAAAACCTATCCGTTATTCGCACATAATTATTCATCGTCTAGACATTATTATCTAACCCCACATGTAAAAGTTTAACTGGAGTTTCGCAGTGAAACTTTACAGATAGAAAGGAGTTTGATTCCGAAATGTCAAGCTATGAATGCGTAAATTGTTAATTGTATAACTGAGAATGAGAAATTGTTCTCTGATTTCTAAGAAAGATGGCATTAACGAGAACTTTCTATTCGTTTCAGTTTCGTACTGTAATCGTGATAATCCATTCAGTAGGTTACAGTATCTCCCTTGTTGCCCTGCTGATATCACTGGCCCTACTCTTCTATTTCAAGTGAGTATTCCAATCAAAAATTAGTATTATAGCATTATTTCCATTCCTTGCATGATAAATCCGACCTGCAGTTTCGTGGATAACAGCAGTGATTGAGCTGGAAAGAAGAATACTGATGAAAGATCTGGAAGTGGATGTGGATCATGTGCGCGGACATTTTCTAGGCAACTTTATTTATCTGATGTCTGCCTAACGCAAAAAAGCCAAAATGATTTGAAGCCAGAGAAAATAGTACAATCATAACAGGCAGCTAAAGTTAAATACATTTTATTTATTGTTCTAACGTAAAGTACAAGGCCGATCTGGGTTTTCACAAACCATCAGACGATTCAAGTCAAAAAGTCGCGGTCCATTGAAAGAATAATGGTAGTGCCTTAGTGTCGACATGTATGTACATCTTTATAGACATATGAGAGCGCCAGTCCGCTTGGGCAATCTTCTTCATAGAGGCTCGTAATCACGTATTGAGCCTCCTGGGCGTAGAAAAGGAGCTCTCTGCTGTCGGAACACTAACTGGTAATGTAGCAAGGATACACAAGAACTTTTGATGTTGGAACACATTTCGGCATCCCAATTTTAATAAAAGCAGGAATCGATCGCGGAATATTCTACACTCGCTGCCATTTTTCCAACCACAGCCGATATTCATTCACAATTATTGAAGTTGGCGTATTATTGTCCAATACAGATTGGTACTCGATTGCGAGTTGCTCAACGACTTGTAGATCTTCACTAGTGTAAGTGACTCGGAATAAAACACCTAACTAAATAAATCAAGTGTCTCTGAGGTCAGTCATTACCTTGGTCTAGAAGGGGGAGGGGGAGAGGGAGTGTACACAGCCCTCCGAAAATCTCCGCTCAATTTTCAATAATGCACAGGCGGCGCTACAGAGCAAAAAAACGCAGAATCACTATTTTACTTGTATTTTATTTATATAATGGTAACCAGACATACGCAACAACCTCATTTCCACGCCATCATCGATGTGCTTACAAAATGATATCAGGATGGTCAGGTATGTTGATTGTTTACCCAATCTGGTGATTTTTTACCTGTTTCTATCCATTACATCTTTGTAACAAGTCTGTGTTTAATCAAATTTATCAAAGAGATCCGAACGTTATCAATTTTAGTGGTCAAACTACATTCGCCCAGAAGGAGGTCACGACCCCCAAGACCCTGCCCCTGGATCCGCACTTGAAAACATATAACATACTTTCTGCATATCAATTTGGTTTTAAAGAAAGTACTTGCATGTGTGGAGCACCATTTTGTAGCAACAAAATTATTAACTTCGAAAAGTATTCGTAGCTTAAAGAAAAGAAAATCATGTCTATCTATATTCACCGACTTGAGAAAAGCCTTTGACAGTATAGAATATAGATTATTGGTTGAAAAAGCACAAAAACCTATTCTGAAAGTAATATACAATAAACCGATATTATACCCAGCTAGACTTTTGAACACAGAAACAAAAAAATCCTTAACATACAAAAATTATATATGAAAATAATTTATAATAATAGATCAACTTACAAATTATATTTTGTACTAAAACCATAATTGTAGTACTAGAAACAAGAATTCTCAAGTTACTTTAATCAACCCAAAGAAAGACACCTTCATTTATCTATCAAACTCTACTATTATTAACCTACCAGAAAAAATAAAAAAAAAAATAACAATAAGTTCAAAAAGCAACTGAAATGTTGGTTTAAGGAGGATTTCAAATTACAACATATTAACATATATACACCCGTTTTGAGTAAAAACCTGCATTCTAGTAATAGTAAAATTGAAATTTGTGATACACAACGCATATGCTGTATATCATGGTTATTTATTTTAATAAAAAACATTTATTTTTATTTATTCTACTTATGCGTTTATTTTTTTCCACCGACAAGGATATTCTTTTGAGGATTGAACTCACCATGTTGTATATTAACGTGAATAAATTTTTATTATTCAGAATCAATGGTAGTTATGGTATGTCATGTCCTGCGTGTAACAGATAAATATTGTTCTTAGGCCGGAACAGAATAATTACTCCCTTTTCCTCAAAGGCGTATTATCAACACTTCCGCTTGAGTCCGCTCGCTTCGTTAAGTGTTTTTATACCAACCACTCAATGGAAACGTTCGAATTCTATCAATCGAGAAGAATAGAATTCTCAAAGAAAATCCTCTCAATTAATGTATAACTGTCTCTATAGCCCAACGTTCGCATCTTCGTCTGACCCTTGAAAAGTTTTCCAATTTTCCTCTGCAAATGCTTCCAGAGGATTTTATCTGAATTTTAAGCAATTAAGCCGTCAAGTGTCGCTAGGTATTTAGCTTGGGCTAATCAGTCTTGACGTAGTAATGTTCTTCAGCTATTTAGCTTCGTTATAATAGACATCTGCTGTATTCTAGCGTTGAATTTGTATAATGAAGGTTGAAGCGCACGATATATTCCGTGCTAAAAGCCAATATTGATGGTGATGGATGGTGTAATTTATATTTAAGACGCTTATACAGTATATTAGCACTAAACGCTCAAGTATTATAAGGAAATCAACATCAACATTGTACGCTCGACTGCAAGCAATACATATAAAACTTATTCACTGATTTTTTGGACGTTAACTCGAAGGTTTTAGCTCACGCGGTATAAAGTAGGGTTACTTATACTTTATCTGAAGTCACTTGAAATAGCATAAAAACCTTTGGTCGGCGCGTCCTTTGTAATTTCATGACGTATCATAGGCGTGCGGTCATTTATTTAGAACGATAATAATAATGTTTTTATATCACAATAAATGGATTTTACTATCTTCTTATTTTTTTGATTTGGGATAAAAAATACTTATATTGGGAGTTTAATTTATGTTGACTGAAAGTTAAGAAATGGAAAAATTACAGAATTCCAACGTTTGACATAGGCAAATATTTACATAGCAGGTAGGTATATAAAAAGGTATATAAAGACTTACATTATAGGTATTTATATATCATCCTCGCCTTCGGAGCTGTCGCTAGAGTCATCTTGTAGAGGAATTACAACGGGATTTACAGGAGGCAAAACAGAATATTCATTTTCTTTTTCAATAATATGCCTAGAACACTGCTTCCATAGGTCTGTGGCAGCAATATGAGATACTGCATCTCTTATTGTGGCCAATAGCGATTCACTTAATTGAGGGGTCTGATTATGTTTTCTTACTTTTTTTTTTAAAGCAGCCCAAACCAACTCAATCGGGTTAAAAATGCAGTAATAGGGAGGTAGACGTAATACTTCATGGCCATTTTGCTGAAGCAGATTGTCAACAACATACTCTTTTTCAAATTTTTGTCTTTTAATAAGATCCAATAATATGGCTTTGGTTGATTTTTGTGGTATTTCCATTCCCTTATCCTTCATAAAATCAATAATGTCTTGTTTTTTTTGTGCCTGTACTCGGAATTTTGTTTTTCTGTCGGGAATGGTATGGCGCATTGTCCATAATAATCACTGAATTTGGGGAAATGTTTGGTATTAACTGCTGCTCTATCCACTTTTCAAATAAGTCGGGGGTCATGTCCTCATGATAGTCGGCACATGATTCTTTGATATTTTTGGCAGATAACAGCAAGGCATTAGGTATAAATCCATTTTCACTGCCAGCATGGAGAATAATGATTCGTTTTCCACGGTTGCATGGTGCATTTAAAATGCACTTGTTGCTGTCGTCAACCCAGTCGTACTGCACAACATCATAGGTATCATACCACGCTTCATCCAGGTAAATCAGATTTCTTTCTGCTCTCTATAGATTTTAACTTTGTGCAAAAATTCTTGGCGCAATTCAACGATTCGAGACGACTCCATAATCACCATTCTTTTATCTAATTTTTTGTATTGAAAACCACACAGTTTTACAATACAGTGCAGTGAGTCTAAGCATTTGTAATTATAAAAATCTTCAGGATAATCTTTTAATTTATCCCGTATCATTTCCAACGTGGGCACCAAATTTTCTTTATAAAATCCGTATATTATACGACGAATATCTTCCTGAAAACCCACGTCTATTCTTTTTAATTTTTGCCCTATGCGCTTTCTGTGGAAGGAATGGTTGACTACATCTCCCCTTTTATAACCCGATAAATGGTAGACCGACTGATTTTTGTCAGGATACAAATTCTGTTTAAAATTTAATTTTGCGAGGAATCTGGATTTTCGTTTTTCAGACAATCATACATATTTAGGATTACTCTTTGGGTCTGTTCCTCTAAATCTTTATGAAAGAATTCTGCCTGCACAGGTTTATCAACCATCTCCTCGTGGCTTGGAGCATTTTCCCAAGGTCTCCAAAGAGCCATATTTAGGACACACAAGAACAATCAACGCAACAATTAAATTAACAAGTAAACTGAGTATTCAAAAGTCAAAAACACACAAACTAATAAAATCTATGAAAAAACACGGACAGACTAAAGAAAACACGTTTATTTACCGCTACACGGCACTGGCTAAACTGTTTCAATTTTCAGTAGCCACCTGCACTTGTTCGGAGCTCTGAAATACACGCTTTCTCATTGGCTATGTCCACGCATAGGCGTGCTTTACTCCACGTGGACCGGTGAAACTGCCTTTGATCTTATACGGGGGATATTTGCTGCGAAATTTGGCGATTTTTGCAGCAACAGAGCGTGTTAAATATAGATATATAAAACGCACCCGGTATTTCACAGTGTTTCAAGTGACTTCAGACAAAGTATACCTAACTTGAGCGCATTAAATTAAAGACAATTTGATCTATGTCCATCAACTACGAAAACAATACTAAAATACTTATTTATTTGTTGAGGGACAACAACAGCAATTACCATCCTCTATAAGTATAGTATGGTCGTTTTATTCAATTTAGCCAACGAATTCTGACTAGGTAGAAGGAGCAAGCCTAGGATTTGTTTGTCTCCAAAATCTCAGTCTGTAACCAGCATTAAAGTGCGTACTACAAGCACAGCTTAGCTTAGACGACAGTCAGTTATGAAACTCTCCTATCAGTGTCAAAGTTGCCGCCATTTCGACGGAGAAAATCGCAGGTAAATTTCCCTAGAA